ATGTAAAGTATCATGTCACCTGTGAATAACGATATTTTTAATTCTTCCTTTCCTATCCTTATTCCTTTTATTTCTCTCTCTTGTCTAATTGCTCTGGCTAATGCTTCTTCTTCTTCTTTTTTTTTTTTTTCTGGTGCTGGGAATTGAACTCACGATCTTGTGCTTGCCAGGCAGGCACAGTGCCACTGAGCTAAATCCCCAGCCCCTGGCTAATGCTTCTAGCACTGTGTCAAGTAGGAGTAGTGACAGTGGACATCCTTGTCTTGTTCCTGGTTTAAAATGAAAGCTTTCAGTTTTTGTCCATTTAGTATGATGTTGGCTGCTAGTTTGGCGTAGATGGCTTTAATCAGATTGAGGTAAAGTCCATGTATTCCGATTTTCTGTAGGGTTTTTATCATGAATGAGTGTTGGACTTTTTAAAAAACCTTTTCTGCATCTATTGAGATGATCATGTGATTCTTGTCTTTGGCTATCTCATTAATGATGTATTACTTTAATTGATTTGCATATATTGAACCACCCCTGCATTCCTGGGATGAATCCCACTTGGTCGCGTATACAATCTTCTTGATGATTTACTGCCTTCTATTAGCCAGTATTTTATTGAGAATTTTTCCATCTATATTCATTAGGGAGATTGGTCTGTAGTTCTCTTTTGGTTGGGTCTTTCTCTGGTTTTGGTGTCAGAGTAACACCTACCTCCCAGAATGAATTAGGTAGAATTCCTTCCCTTTCTATTTCATTAAAGAGTTTGAGAAGAATTTGCATTAAATCTTCTCTAAATTTCTTGTAGAATTCAGCTGTGAATCCATCAGGACGTGGGATTTTCTTTGTGCATATGTTTTTTTATTACATTTTCAATTTTGTTGGCTGATATTGAGTTATTTAGGATTTTTATATCTTCTTGATTCAGTTTTGATTATTCACATGTGTCTAGGAATCTGTCCATTTCTTTTGTGTTTTCCATCCTGTGAGAGTAAAGATTTTTGAAGTATTGATGATCTTCTGAATTTCTACAGAATATTTAGTGATTTCACCCTTTTCATTCCCTATTGTGTGTATTTGAGTTTTTTCTTTCCTTTTTCTATAAGGTTGGCTAGGGGTTTATCAATCTTTTTTTTTTTTCAAAGAACAACTCAATTTATTAATTTTTTGTATTGTTTTCTTAGTCTGAATTGTATTAATTTCTGCTCTGATCTTTATAATTTCCTCCCTTCTTTGGGCTTTGGGCTTGACTTGTTCTTCTTTTTCTGGAAGCTTGAGGTACAGCAGAAGGTTGTTTATTTGTGCTTGTTCTGTTCACCTGATGTGGAAATTCACCACTATAAGTTTCCCTCTGAGGACTGCTTTCAGTGTGTTCCATTTGTTCTGGTAGGTTGTATCTGCATTTTTTGTTTGATTGTAAATATTGTTTAATTTCTTTATTTTTATCTGTGACCCACTGGTTGTTCAAGAGGGTGTTATTTAATTTCCATGTATGTATGGAGTTTTTGCCATTTCTTTTGTCAACAGTTTCCAATTTCATTGCACTATGGTCTGATAATATGCATGGGATGATTTCTATTCCTCTGAATTTACTTAAGCATGTTCTATATGCTAGTATTTGGTCTATTTTAGAGAACATCCTGTGTGTAGCTGAGAATAATGTGCATTTTAATTTTCTTGGATGGAATACTCTGTAAAGGTCTACTAAGCCCATTTTTTTCACAAGTTTGGTTTAGTTCTATTATTCCTTTGAGGAGTTTTTGTCTAGTTGATCTGTCTGTTTGTGACAATGTGGTGTTAAAGTCCCCCACTACAATCATGTTATTGCTTATCAGATTTTTCATGTCTGTTAAAATTTGTTTTGTATAGTTGGGTGCTTCTACATTTGATGCATATTTACTTATTATTGTTACCCCTTCCTCTTGCAGTTTTCCTCTAACGTGTATGTAGTGACCTTCTTTATCTCTTTTGATCCCTCTTGGTTTGGAGTTCCCATTCCTGCAAACAGAATATCTACCCCTGTTTTTTTTGGATTCCTGTTGCATGGAGTATTGTTTTCTATCCTTGGACTTTCACTCTATGAATTTCTCTGCGAGTTAAACACATTTCTTGTATACAGCATTTTGTTGGATTTTGTTTCTTGACCTACTCTGCTTGCCTGTTTCTTTTGATTGGTGAATTTAGACCATTTACACTAATGACATTACTGATGTATGTAGGCTTATCTTTGTCATGTTATTTCCCCACTGTTGGTTCCGTACATTCCCCTCTATTTAATTGCTTGCCCTGCCTGGTGGTTGTTTTCTATTGTTATAATTGTGGTCATTTTTATCTTTTTCTAGAATATCTTTCAATACTCTTTGTAGGGTTTCTTTGGGGGTTATGAATTTCTTCAGTTGTTTGTCATGGAAGTGTGTTATTTCTCCATTAATTTTGAAGGATAGTTTTGCAGGGTGCATCAATTTGGGTTGGAATTTGTTTTCTTTCAGGACCTGAAATACTTCACTCAAAGCTTTTCTTCACTTAATGGTTTGTGTTGAGAAATCTGCTGTGATTCTGATGGGTTTTCTTTTATTGGTGATCAGTTTCTTTTCTCTAAGAGCTTTTAATATTCTGTTCTTTCACTGAATTTCTGGGATGTTGATTATTATATGTCTGGGTGTAGACTTATTTAGGTTATGGCTAATTGGAGTTCTATGTGCTTCACTTATGTGTATGTCATATTCTTATCCCACGTTTGGGGAATTTTCTGCTATTACTTCTGCAGATAGTCTTTTATGTCATTCATGTTGCCATCTGCTGTTTTGTTGACATCGGTCAGTCTTACATTGTTTTTCTTTGCCTCTTCTTGAAGCTGATGAATTGTTATTTCCTGGTTCCTTGTTATTTTTAAGAGGTCTTTCATTTTGCAATCCCTAGCTGAAAAGCTGTCTTCATGGTCTGAAATTCTATCTTCATTTTTGTTCAAGCAGTTTTCCAGCTTTTAATGGAATTTTTAATTTCCTGAATATCTGTTTGAATCTGTTTCATGGACTGTAATTCTTTCCTATATTGTTCATTCAAGGTTTTCATCATTTTTCTGTATTCATCCTTTTTATTTATGTCTTCTTTTGTTATGCTTCTTTTGTTTGCTATTCTTTCATTATGGTTGTCATTTCTTTTTTTACTTGAGTAATTATTTCTGATCTGATTTGTTCTATAGCTGGATATAGTTGTTTCTTTACTTCAAATGCTCTCATTTCACAAATTTCAAGTGTGTGACTTCCATGTTCTTTATGTCAATGTCTCCTAGAGTTGTTGTGGGTGAGGTGAGGTCTGAGATTGCATTTTGCTCCTTCATTTTGTCAGTTTTGAAGCTCCTTAGGTTTGTCAGGATTCAGGGTTGTCTCTTGATGGGAGTGGGAGATAGAGCACAGAATCTTTCCCCTCCCATGAGGCTCCTTCAATATAATTGTAAAGTACATTAAATTTAAAAAATGATCTAAGTGCTTAGGAAAAGTTTTTTTTCCTCTTTAAAAGAAGAGCATCTAAAATGACATAAATCTTAGAATTAGGAAATCACCATATTTTGGTTCCCCCAAAGAATGACAAAACCCGTGATGAATTGTGGTTGGGGAACATAATAACTCCTGCTTTCACCTACATTTATCTATTAAGCAGGGAAAATTCAGAGAGAGAGAGAGAGAGAAAGCAAGAGAGAGAGAGAGAGAGAGAGACAGACAGACAGACAGACAGACAGAGACAGAGACAAAGACAGAGAAAGACAGAGAGATGGGAATGGGTTTGGTGGTTGCCTTACATAGGAGAGCCTGAGCATATGTAATTTGAAGTTCATCTGTGTAGGATTCTTGGGTATTCTTCAGTGTTGTTGGTCAGGATGCATCAAAGAATTTAGGAGAGCTATTGGTGGCCATGCTATGATGACTCCTCACACCTCGTCACTCGCTTGCCCTGCTTGACCCTGTTGTAGAGTGGTGAGTACACTGAGGCCTAGGCCTACTTCTTCCTGTACTCTCTGGGAATGCTCATTTCCCAGTGCTATGTGAAAAGAAAAGAGCAATGAGGGAAATGTCTTTTCTAAATTTTATCTGTATATTTCAATGACCTGTTTTCAAATATTTAGTGATAATTTTCTCTTTTAATATATTTACTCTGCTGATTGATTTTACCCTGTATTTGTAGTCACCAAGGTCTGAGTATTGTAATTTTAATATCGTATGATTAAAATGGGCAAAATCTTGGTTTCTGTTACAAAATGTAAAGTGGATGATCTGAATATAGGAAGTAATATTTTCTAGATGGGAGCATTTCACTCTGCCATCTTCTGATTTTAGTTGTTGCTTATATCAGTTTTCTTGAAATAGATTTTTAAATCTATTCTCCTAGGAATAAAGATAAAGCTCAAAGCTCTTCTTGAAGGGGAATTAAGCACATTTTAGTTATTCTTATATTTTAGAATATCTGATTTCAAATAAATCTCACATGTCATACTGAAAAGACACAAGGAGATGTTGTGTTAAGGAGACTTCTTTGCAGTTAAACAGCTCATCCAGTGTGTGCATCCCATGGATGAAGCACTTCTCTTTACTGGTAAAATTATTAGGAGGGACGTCATAGAGGAGAAGTAATGAGAAATGCAGAAAACACTCCTGCCTGGGAGGAACCATAGGCAGTGTCACAACTTCATCTTTCTGTTTGTCTGGTTGCAGTAAAGGTGAGTTAGATAGAAGAGTCAGGCTAGGAAACAATTGTTTCTCTTATTCTGTTAAGTTTGCATGTTGTGTCTTGACATTTGGCAATAAAGGACTCATTCTCTGACCTTGATTTTAATGCCCTGGTATTGATATATTTTCCAGAGAAAAAGTGTTACAATGCCAAAGTATAGAGGTAGAAAAAGATGAGACTGGGCATAGTGAAAGAAAGTTTAGTCTTTTGAAGCTTTATTGGCGATGTAGAATTTATACATGCTCTCAGGTCTCTTACATATGAGTTTAAATTCTAGCTCTTCTACTTACCAGCTGAGTGACTTCAGCTGAGTAAAGATTCAGTCTCCTCATTTTAGATGTAATACGATCTTCCTAATTGGGTATTAACTGAAATTATATATATTACATATATATTAGCATACAGTAAGAACTCAATAAATGGAAATTATTACAAATAAAGTTTTAGGTAAAGGAAACATATCAGGAAGTAAACAATATAAATATGAGGAGAAGGATTCTTTGTGGACATAAAATTTAGGATTGGATTTTTAAATGCCATTTCTTTTACCAAGTATGGTTAGTTCTGCTCTGCTGGCAATAAAAAGTATGTTTAGTTACTTTCTTGAGCTACCATCAAGAAACATAAATAAATGAACAAGATTCAATGCATTTGTGGAATACTTTATATTTTATGAAATCAAATATCACCTTCATAATATTTACCACATTCTCAGATCACCTATATTGTTTTCTTAATTTTCTTCAAATTGACTTACCTTTAAAAACCCTCATTTAAGCAACATCTGAAAATTTGTATATTTGCTATGTAAAGTGTTATATATATATATATATATTTGCTGTACTCTAAAACAAGTATCTTTCAAAAGTTCTACTTATAGCCCGTGTATCATCTATAATCTTCTGAAGTCCTTCCAGTACTATATTACTGTGCTTTGGAAAACACATTTTCCTCCTTGGTCATAAAATAATTATATAGGGTAAACACAGGTAGCAGGATTGTCCTATTGCAAAGATAAGGAAATTAGGTTCATGGATGATTTTTTTTTTTTTCAGTACTGGAGATGAACCCAGGGCCTCGCATATCCTAAGTGAGTACTCTACCACTGAACTTGAGCCCCTAGACCAGAAAAAAAAAACACCTTATAATCAGTAAGTAATCAGAATTACCCTGGTTTCATGTTTCTTTCTTTCATGTCCAGTGTTCCTACTGTACCACTAGCTCCTCTAGGGAAGGCAAATTTAAAACTAAAAGTAAAATTTTATACATTTAAATCTGAATATTTTGAAATTTTGTGGTAATTGGAAGATAGATCAAACCGATGAGAAATTAACAAACAGGAGGTCACCAAGTTGTGGTTGATGGCTTGACTGTTCTTGATTATCTCAGCCTATTCATGGCCTTGTATAATCCCCTCCATTTGAATAACTTCTACCAAACGGACAGGACAGCCTTGAGAAGATGTTACCTTTCAGGTAAATTTGGAAAAGATTTAATCATCACTATGCTAGAAGACTCTCTCTTACATTTGTGAAGCAAGCTGCCATATGACAAAAGCCAATCCTTAGGTATTTTAAACCACTAGTTTTTTTGGAGTTAGGGGCTAACTTGTTATTCAGCAGGATCAGCTCCAGTGTGCAGAGTCATCTCCAGAGGTAATTCAGTGGAGTGGAATCAAGTGAACGCTGCTGGCCATAGCTCCAGGCACTTGCATTTTCATTGGATGGTGACATCTAACGTTGGACATCTTTCCTTTCTCTCTTATTCTCTCATTTTATCTTCTCTTTCCTTCTTTTGCCCATTCCCTTTATTTCTCCCATTCCTTTCTGTAGTTTTAACTAATAGAGTAGCTAGATATTTAAAGGCAATAACAATGCAAAGGAAAACTCCAGTATCTACAAAATATTGTAATTTATACTTTGCACCTACAGTGCCCTGCCTGGGGCTTCATGTGTGACAGGTGCATATGTAGTGTATCGGTTGGGGTTCAGTAGAGGAATAGATTCAATATAAAATATGATGTATGAAGGATTTACAAAGTAGGCTGACAGTGGCCACCTGCAGGGTCAGGGGTGGAGGAATACAAAGGGGCTGTTCGTGTGCCGGAGAGCTGCAGGATCCAGTGAGAAGTTGAAGACCTGGAGCTCACTTAAGAGTCTGGTGCAAGTCTGTATCTGAAAACCAAAGATTCTGCTTTAGAAGACTGAAGTCTATGCTGCAGGGCTAGGTATCCTGTGCTAGAATCCTGAGCCAGTGTCCATATGTGATAACAAAGACTGAAACTCTTCAAAGAAGCAAAAGGGAAGACATTTTCTTTTCATCTTTAGTCCACCCAGTCTACAAGCCTATTGGTTGGCGCCATTCACATTTAACAATATGTGGATTTGTCTTACAGTAAGTCAGTCTAATCATTTAGACAAACCTAGAACTATGCTCCACTAGTCTGCTTAGTGTTTCTTATTCAAATTGACACCATGATTACTATCACATGTAGGAAGTGCTCAGCAAAGGTTTGCTGTTGGTGTTACTGAATTATGGTGAAGCTATTTCTTTGCTGCCTATATGTACTGGTCAGTTTTCCCAAAGCTGGGACAAAATATCTGTCACCCAACCATTTACAGGAGGAAAGTTTTAATTTGGCTTATAGTTGTAGAGGTTTAGTTTATTGTTGACTGACTCTGAAGTAGAAACCTCATGGGGCAAGGGCTTGGTAGAGCAAAACTGCTCAGTTCTTGGCAGCCAGAAGCAGAGCACAGAGAAAGGGCACCAGAAAGGAAGAGGTTAGGGACCAGATACCAGAGATATTCCCAAGGCCATGTTTCCAGGACCCACCTAGAACCATGTAGAAGTATGCTTCATTAATTTCTCAAGCTAATGCAGTTGATGATCATATGTCATGCCATGCCATTTTGAATTTTTATATTTGTATTCATGGGAGTACTTTTATTCTTTTTCAGAACATGTGTACTCATGTTTATTTTCTTTTCTTCTGTAGGCAATTACTAGCACTGGTTGTTTGGACCACTTGCTGAATAAGATGTGAAATGATTTTTCCTGCAGGTATTCCCTCTACAAAATTAAAAGCATTAGGAATGAGGAAATAACATCTATGCTTCACATTCTGTTACTGATTTCTCCTAGTTTTTCTAACCTTTGCGCTACCTAATATTTTCAGTTTTGTGATGGATTTGCTTTTATCTCACATGAACAAGTAACTGAAGCTGACTTTTTAATAAAAGGAGGGATAGAATAAGTGGTAGATGGAGAAAGTGTATATTTGGACAAATCTGAATAGTAAATCCCTCACTGTATCAGAGCAAAGTTTAATAATAGCACTCTTAAACACATATGTAAATGAATCACCCTATAAAAACTTTTAACAAGTGCTGACAAGTCGGATGGCAGACTTACCCTGAAACCTGCCTCTCCAATAAAAACCTCATAATTAAAAACAAGGCTGTCTATAAAAGCATAATATGTAATAGAAATTATTTGAAACTGGTAGATTTGACTAGAAAGTCAAAATAAGTTTTTTTAGGAAAAAATTATTTACCTTCACAGTGTAAAACCAGCAGACTATCATCTATATTTGAGCTGTGAAAAGATACTTGCTCCAATAATTAATACTCACTGACTTTGGACCAGTAGCAGATTGAGATAATGAAACTTTTACTGATCTTGTGAGAAGAGTTTTAGTGTTGGCCATGTATTGAGAGAATGTCTGCTGTGTGCCAGATACTTTTTAGCCATTGAATGTGCTACAATAATTCATCCTTTTTACACTCAGAAAGCAATGAACTATATTTTAGTTCTATTAAAATGAGTCTTACAGTGGTTTAATAAATAGTAATAGTACTAGTAAGATCATTTGTAGTAGTAAATAGTAAGTGGCCATAGCAGCTACTTGAACACAGTTCCCTTGATTCCCTAAATTATGCTCTATTTATCAAAGGTACAGCCTTGATAAAGGATGTGAAATTGATGAGTATATGGAAGCCAGTGAATAGGATACAGTTGTGGCAATAAACCAGATCCTGCTGAACATGTGGTAGAATGGATAAGAGAATGTTATTTGTTGCTACCTGTTTTCAATTGATTATCACCTAATATGTGTTCCATATTAAAATTCCATTATTTTAGCCTGCAAATTCGCCCATCCAGACTTGCCTCACTCTGACAAGCACACACTAGTGAAACAGATTTATCATGTCCTTCGTTCAGAGGCCACTATGACGAAGGGTCCAAATTTGAAATTGGAATTCAAATTCTACAAAGCCTTTGCACTACATTTGCAATGTGTGCTTCCTTGACTTTCCTTTTTAGGTGCCACTTTAGTGAGACACCCTGTGAGACACTGAGGTGAGGAGTAGCTGGAGTTAGAACTGGTGAGAGGATGAAAGGCTTAGTGAATAAATTCAAATTCTAAAACAATCTCTGTCCAATTCATTATTATTGGTGTGGTGCTAGGGATTGAACCTGGGGCCTGTAACCAAGATCTACCACATAGTCATATCCCCAGCCTCCCTTTTCAACTCAGTATTAAAGAGTGGAATCTACGCATAGGCAGAATGTCTCAAGCTAAGTATAATAAATAATTTGACTGTAGTACACACCCATTTCTTAGAATTTCATAAGTCTCTGAAACTTCTTATACTCAGCCTTTAAAAAAAAAAATCTGTAGTGGCGTACTGCATTCTGTGGACCAACTTTCTGCAGAGGGCCGGGGAGTAAATTGTTTAGCCTTTGCAGGCTATGTGGGTCTTGTCAAAATGATTCAGCTATGCTGTTGTAGCACCACAATAGCCATAGACAATGAAATGAAGAAATGAGGATATTTGTGTTACAATAACTCTTTATTTGCAAACCCACACAGCGGGACAGAGTGGACACAACGGTAATAAATTGGTGATGATAGTGTAGTGGAGACGGTTCATTTGGAGATGGATTTTGGCTCTGCTATTCTAGCTGAGTATTTTTGGGAAAATATTTAATTTAGATTTGATTTAGTTTCCTATCTTTGAAATGAATTATCAAACTTATTTCATGAGATTATTATGAAGATTGATCTATATAGCAAAATATAGCAAACTATCTGGCACATATATCTAGTAAATTATGCTTATTATTGTACTATTAATTTATCTTAGTTTTTCCACTTGCTTGTTGTTATCTAGTATATTCATAGTGAACTAATCAATGCCATCAAGGACAACTGGAACTTTTTTGCTGCTTCACACTGAAGCTACCTCTTCTTCTCTTCCATCTCTTCTTTCTTCTTCTTTTCTCTCACTCTTCTTCATTCTTCCTCTCCCTCCTTTTCCTTTTCCTCCTCCTTCACTCCCTCTCTCTCCTCTTCTTTCACCTCCTCTTCCTTTTCTCTTTCTCTTACCTCCCATCCCTCCTCTTCCTCCTCTCCCTCCACTTCCTACATCCTCTACTTCTTCCTCCTTGTCTTCTTCTCCCTCTTTCTTCAGGATAATTGGGGCTGTACCCAGGGGCACTATCACTGAGCTATATCTCAAACTTAAAAAATTTTTTTGGGGAGGACAGTATCTCATTAAACTGCCCAGGCTGGGCTCAAATTTAGCAATCCTCCTGCCCCATCCTCCAATGTAGCTGGCGTTACAGGTGTGCACCATCAAGATTGGCTCAAAATATTTTCTACTGAAACTAGGAACTACTTTAAAGATTTCTCGTGTTTAATTCATACTACTGAATGAATATTACTTTCTTTTAGTTCAGTTTCTGTACTTCAAATTCCTTTTCAAAAGAACTTTGTAGACGTGGGTGCATGTGTTTGTTTTTCCTCATTTTGTCTATTGGGTAATCATGCATATGTCGACTGACCACAGAAATGGGTCTCACTGCCCCCTTGACAGTAAGCTGACATGAATTCAGACCAGCCCTGATAGTCCTGTGACTGGGAAAGTCTAGTCTTGTCAAGTCAGTCTGTGGTGCTAGGAGTGGCTGGATGTTTTACTTGTGGAACACTGGTACAGATGTGGTGACTGCTTCTCTGAGTATTTGTTTTTGTCTTCTTTGTGAAAGGTCACTGGCTGATTTGAGTTGCTAGGTTGAGCCCCACATCCTGTATATGCCACACTGGCTTTCTCTTTATGTCATTCTGCCTCATATCTAGAGAATAGTTTGGCTGATCCAGTGGTACTCTGGAGTTTTATCTTTATAAATTTTCAATAGGTGAGAATGTCCCAGTCACATCTGAGGAGCCGGAATCATTGTAGACATGAACTTACTCAAAGAGGAATGAGTATGTGTGTGTACGTGTGTGTGTGCATGTGTGTGCATGTGTGTGTGTGTGTGTTTATGTTTGTAGTACTGGAGATTAAACACAAGGTCTCATGCTTTACTACTGAGATACATCTGCAGTCTGTCAAAGAGAAATTTTTGGCTAAAAGAGGAAATTGTGTCGATCATTATGAAAAAGAAACCACGGAACAGGGCCTAGGTTGTAAACTTAACTCTAAATGTAAGTGCTACAGTTAACACACATTTGTCAGTTCCACGTCATGAAAAAGACAATTAATCCTTTCTTCTTTTCTTGAGTGCTTTTTCTGTTTGTCCTTCTCCCTCATTTCTTATAATGCAGAGAAAGAAAAATGATAGCAGATTACCTTAGGCTGATGTGGGGCAAGAAATCCATTTAATAAAAAAGTTGGGAAAAATACATTGCTTATTAATTGAAATTATAATATGCATGAATTAATTAGATTGTAGGCTTTAAACGTGAAAATAAGGCTTGCAAATTAGCCACTGAGAAAAGGACAAAAACAGCCAAGAATATGCAGGACAAAACTAAAAATCTTCACACACTGTACATTTGGCTATAAGATAACTTTTTTGGTAGGTAAAAATAGGTAATAGAAACACCAACAAAAGAAAACTTATACAAAATTTAAGTATATATAATTGTAAAAGTATAACATAACAGTTTTTAAGTTGCAGCAAATAATAAACTTAGTCTGGAGACTAGAGTCTTTCTGCCTGGCTGTTCTCTTTCACTTCTGAAGGTATGAAAATGTTCCCATGCTAAAGCCACCTCATTCTTTTAAAGTAATGAGATATCTTTAAATTTACTTATATTTATTAATGTGTATTTGCTTTTTTTTTTAGTTTACTTAAAAGGGTTTATAGTTGCTTTTTTATTACAGTTAGAAGTCACATGTCTGTTTAATAGATATTGTTCTTTTCTGTAACTCCCCAGGCTCCATGCATACCTTTGAGAATGATCATTGAAAGTACACCTGAAAGGTCTCTGGGGCGGCATCGTAGAAGCTGATTTCAGCTTGAGTCTACGTGGCTCTTCCACATTCGAACAGTAGTGCATCAGTTTCGTTTCAACCAATTTTCCCTCCCTTCTCACTTATCGTTCTCATTTATTTGTATATAGGTCTGGCCTCCTCACTCCTCTGACCATGCCTTGTTTGTCTTGTATTAGTCATGGCTTCTGTTACAGAACCCAGCCCAGAGTGGTTGCTCAGGAGATATACGTTGGAGAAATAATTATACATCAGCTAAAGTGCTCATTTCGATTCCTATATCTGAGCAGCTCTAGCTTTTTGGGTGAGATAAAGAAGAAATACAGGTTTTAGGCATATGTTACAGGTTAGCTTGGAATGTGATAGCTGCCACACAAATGCAGAGCCTTCTGTGGCTTTCCAGTATGAACTCATTTCTATCATCGCCATGCCTCCGCGTTGGGTGACTCTTACCCTGGCATGTCTTGGCAGGACTCTATTTGGTTTGCGTAATCCACATTGGCTTCTAGTTTCAACAAGAATTGTTTACACGCATTTAATTTTAGCTCTTAGGCTATAACATGTCATTGTTCTTTTTACTTATCTCCTTACTTTTGGAAACAGGACAGGCATCTTCAATTCTTGCTGTTCCTGTTTGGTGTGCTCTTAGATTAATTTTAGCTTGCTCTTCAGCTTTCATGACATGCAAGATATTTTCCAGCCGTATTTCCTGCATAAGAAAAATATAGACCATGTTACCACAAAGGGAAGTGGAGAATGGGGGAGATTATTTAAAACATTCAGGGATCTCATACCCTGCTTTGGAAGGAAATTAGAGCAAGGTACTTGGATTAATGTACCTCGCTTGATTATTCTATATTCAATTTAAAGGATAAAACATGCCACTCTTACTCCATTTTATTTGTTGTTGTCGTCACAGTGGACCTGAAAAAAATATATTTCTGGCTTACTTTTAAAAATCAGGGCTTAATAGAATTACTTCATTTTCATATTTTGGGGGAAATGAATACTTCAGGAAAATAATAATGAATTGTGGGAAAGCAATGATTTCCTAAGAGTAGACCATTGAAACTGAAAGTATTTAAGACAGTCTTGCACAAAAGTCTTGCAAAATTCTATTTCTTTATGGTACTTACGCAATCATATTTCTTATTGACTTTCCATAAAATTTTTTACAAGAAGCTCAAAGATATAAAAATAAGCTTATAGGAGGAGATACATTTATGGTTTCTTCTATGGTACAATATATGCAAAACTATGGAGTTTTACAGCACAATTTTTATGGTGATTCTGGAGGAGACAGGAAATCTAACAAATTGAAGGAGTTTGCCACCTACAGGAGACATGTGAAATTCCACTTTTCTACAGGTTTCTCCAGTAGGATTCTTTCCTTCATTTAATTGTTTACACATTTAATTATCAAAAAGTAGAAAGCTTAGTTATTGTACCAGTGCAGATTTGATAAATCTATTCAAGATCTATGAACTCAAAGAAACAAGAAAATGTATCTTATTTTAATTGGACAGTCCGTGTTTAAAATCTTTTAAAAACTATTTGTTATTATCTTAATTTGTAGTACTGGGTATTGAACCCAGGGTCTTGCTTATAGTAGGCAAGTGCCTAAGCTATATGTCTAGCTGAAAAATCTTTAATTTTAAAGAGAGTATGACACAACCATCTGGACAATTCTGGATATCTCTATTTGGGAAGGATACTACTTTCAGTTTTGGGGTATAATAAAATTCATTTTTATTCATCTTTTTTTCTTCTTCTTTTTTAATCTTTGACAAGTTTGGTACAGACCGGTGCAATTTCTTCATGTTTGATATGCATGAGATGTAATTTCTTCATCAAGGTATTCACAGTGTAGCAGATTAGCGATGGAGGGTAATAACTCTGATATATATCAAATAACAGAGATAATGTCTAACATAAAACCATCATTTGATGAAGAATATATATGTATATATTCCATTTATCTGTATTTCAATTATTTCTGGAGCTAAAAAGCAATTATTTCTCTCCTTTTATATTATGAACAATATCTGGCCTAGTATGTATGCACACCAAGTACTGAAGCAATAGTGATTTCAATACTGATTAGTTTGGAGTGAAACTTAGAAGAATTTCAGACATATATTAAACTGAGAAAATTTCCAGTAAGGGCATACAAGATTTTTCTCTTGTCAGTATTCTCAATGTGATTAGAAATTTCTTTGCCAAACATTTCTAGGAGACTATAGATGAAATATTTTATAATTTGTTTTTATTAGTCCATGTTTGCAGTACATAGTGATTACGTTTATCTTGGGGAGTTGGTGCATGTACATAATACATCTTGATTTGCTTTTCATTCCCTTCCCTTCCTCTCCTGCCCACCTTCCCGCATTTGTTGGCCCCTTCTCCTTTTACAAAAGGGGACATATTTTAAATATTTAAAACCGCATCTATGTAATTTATTATGGCCAATAATTTTTGAAAGGGGATTGAAACTTTACACATTGTTGCTCAGTAGAACTAGAATCATTGATACATCCCCAAGAGGAGGCCATGTCGTTTACAAGAGTCGCTTTTGAGCTTTCCATGCTCTCTCTCTGCAAGGGCCACCTCAAACACCTCCAGTAGCCTTCTTTTTCTGGACCCAGTATGACTTTTCTTTCAGCTCACATTCATATGGTATTAAGACTCAGCTCTGCAAAATAAAATATTCTATCATTGTTTGGGTTGTATTTTAATCGTGTGCCATCTGTTTAATTTGTATTTCAGTATCTGTAAGGGTAGTGTTTTCATTATACTCTTTTGATTATAAGCTTCTAGAAGGTAGAGGTCAGCATTATTTCATTCATTGTTTTGGAAATATAAGTCTTCATAATCAAAGTGGAATATCAGACTATGGTAGCTGTTTGAGAAATTTATGCAGTTTTTAAAAATCCATGCTTACAAAAAGAGATAGCAACCAATCAGGCATGACACACTGCATGGTTTCTTTGTTTTTAACTCCTGCATGAAATTTGCCAAACTTTCAGACCTTGGAAATTTTCTCACTCCACTTGTTATGTATAGAGTTGTGTCCCTCCCACCCTAAATTGATATGTTGAAACTCTGACCCCTAGTGCTCCCAACTATGACTTTATTTGGAAAATGAATCATTGTAGATGTAATTGGTTAAGATTTGACCTACCTGGAGTATGATGAGCTCTTAATCCAATATGCCTGGTATCCTCATGAAAGGAAAATTTTGGTAAGACAGAGATGTATATGGAGAATGCCATCTGAAGGTTGTATTTATCCTGCTGCAAGTCAAGAAACTAGCAGAAGCTAGGAAAAAGGCCTAAAAGGATCCTTGCCTAGTGCCTTGAGAGGGAATGTGACTGTGCTGACTCCTCCATCTTGGACTTCCAGTCTTTGGTACAATGAGACAACAAATTTCTCTTCCTGAGCCACTCAGTTTATGGAACTTTGTTATAACAGTCCTTGCAAAGTAACACATTTTAACTGAGGAGCAAAGAAAATTCTGTAACTACGTAATTATCTTCTTTTATTCTTATCAGCATCCTAAAGTGCAGAGATTAGAGCCTTCTATATGCAAATTAGGAAATGAAGCCTCAGAAAAATCAGATGACAAGTTCAAGGTATTGTGGTTGTTTTGTTTTAGTGTCAGTGTTTGATCCCAAGTCTCTTTTCCACCAAAATGTCACCCACCCATTCACTTCTAACCCAATCCAGGTGCTCACAAACAACCAGACTACCACTGGAACAAGTACACAAATGGTCATTGAGAAGGAAGTCATGACCAACATCAGACTGTCAGTCAGGCAGGAAAAGCTTTAAGAAGCGAAGCAAATATATAGAATACACTAAAGATGGTGGGAATCTTTGTATGTGTGGATTCCCTGTGCCTTTAGGAAGGAACTCCGAAATATACCCGAGTTAGTTCAGGCAAGAGGAAAGAGAAGGTTGTAGATGTCTGATGCCTCTTTTGTAGCTGGGTACCTAACACCTTCATCGCACAAATTCTTATGAATATGGAGATGCACATTCCACAAATTAATGCACTGTAATATTGTCATGCAGTCTGATTTGATTTTATTGAAATTTTTGTTAGGTAGACGGGGCTCTAAGTTGTCTTAATGAGGAAGCCAAAATATTCAAGAGATTCCCTGACTTCCCAGGCCAGGAGGTAAGCCTTGCTGTCAGCATCAATCCCCACGCTTTCTGATGTCAGTTCAGCATTCTTTCTATAATTTCTCATTGCCTGGAGAAACAGCTTGGCTCTCTATGACTTTTCATACTACTACCTCTTTCTCATTAGCTGTCCACCAAAGCAAAAACTCACATGAAAACAGAAAAATGGAACAGAGAGGTTGGTGGTAGAAGAGAGAAAAATAATGTTCTTCAGTGCAAAAGAGATTTCTTGGGAGGAAAAGAAAAAAACAGGGGGGAACTCTGAGATCCTGAAGAGGTATGCGTAAGATGAGCAGCTTGTAACTTGTGAAGAGACTGTCTAGTTTTTGAGATCCTGCTCTGAACCATTTTTTAAGGTGAAAGAAATTCCAGTTAACCCCTCCTGATTCATTTATTGGAGAGGACTTTGTCAAGAAGACTGTCCAAAAAGCTTTTTAACGTTGTTCCACAAGCATTGTAATCCTGAGAAAAACTTCTGCTTACTTGGAAAATTGCTTAAAGAGGAACAAGAAAATTTGCTTAGTTTTCCTGCATGAATGTGCAATACTGTTGTGAAAGCAAGTTCACCTTTCTGAATCTACAGCCAAGGACAGAAGAGAACACTTTCTTGAGGCTTTGAGCTTTTTGGTTCAAGTCTAATGGAAGAGGGCAATACCAGAGACTAATTTTATTTATGTTATTTCTTTTTCTGCACCTATCGTAATTTTTTGATGATTCATGACAGGTACTATATTTTGATTCCAGTTATTATTATTCAATACATTTAAATTATTTTAATAAAGACATTTGTAGATTGTTGACATTAAGAAAACTGAATCAGTTTGACTTATATTTCTCTGTAGTTGAGAAGAAAATTCACACATTCCAAA